ACTGATCTTGAAGCATCTGGAACTGTAGGATCATCATCAGCAGTCCCTCACAGATGAGGATGATTCTCTTCCACTCAGAGTGAGTCTGTAGGTAGCTGTACAGACCAATGTGGCTACCGCAGGCTCTGTTATGCAATGGGATCCTGTATATTCACCAGTGACTTGTGGAAGGCAGTAGTAGAAAAGCAAATTTCAATTTCAACCACAACATGTACACTAGCATAGATGGTATAGGCATGGGATCCCTAACACGGTAAATTCTCCCTAAAATTTTGGTGGTTTCCACAGGGAGCATGTTTTTGATGGAATAATCACTAACGTCCTAACCCTTGCATACCTCCTGTACCTTCGCCCAGCTCCAGGAAAGTACTGAAACTGAGAGGAGCACAAAGGAAGCATTTCAAGGACTTCCCAAAGGCTTTCCTCAAGAAATGTAATGTAGATGTCCATGCTTGGGAGACCCTCATTCAGGATAAACCGAAATGGAAGAAGCCCTTATATGAAGAGGCACAACTTTATGGGGACACCCCTCGGCAAGAGGAAGTATTTGAGAGGAACTGGAGAAAGGAACATTAGCGACTTCAAAGCCAAGGTCCAATTCCACCACCTGGAAACACCCGTCAGGTGTGTGATTTAACATGCAGCTCAAGAATCAAGTTCATCAGTCACACAAAGATGCACAGAACCCAGGACCAGTGACATGGAATTTCTTAACTACACAATCATACTCGTTAGTGAGTGACTGAAAATGACGATGACGTCCAATACATAGATGAATTACTTGCTATATTTGAATTTACAACTGCATTTTAAAATTTCCTTATGCATCTTAATAGACAACATCCACAAATTTACCTTTGAAATGGTCCAGACAACCGGCTCCCTTTTCTCAATGTGCTGTTTAGGAAAGGTTGTCTAGAACCTTTTAGAAATGGTTGTCTGTCAAGGAACACAATCCCGTCATTCTGTATAAATTGTTATTGCAGACACTTCATGATCAAGAGTGGATTGATGGGCGGTAATTGGCTGGGTTGGATTTTTTCTACATTTTGTGCACAGGACATATTGTTAACTTTTAGAGTGGCCATGATCACAGTTTTGTAATAAAGGCAGTCAACAATTTATAGCAATTTTCTAATAGTTTATTGAGTGTGTTAAGAGGCAGCAATTTAGATATGATACATTAGTTAGTTAGATAATGCAAATGTACAACCATGACCACCACACCACAAAAAGACAATTGGGGATGGTTCACTGATACCAGAGGACAAACAAGCTACTGGTGTGCAATATGTTAGTCTTGTTAAAGTTGGATGTGTGGCATCCTGCTCTCTAGCTGAGGTGTTCTGAGGAAGGGTCACCAGACCTGAAACATTAACTCTGGTTTTTTCCTTCACAGATGCTGCCAGACCTGCTGAGCTTTTCCAATAACTTTGATTTTGTTAGGGAACTCTTCCCTGGATTTTCCTCCTTTGCTTCTGGTCCATCTTCCATTGAACACTTCAAATTTTCAATTAATCAGGGAAAACCATCATGGAGACATGACAGATAGGTCATGCCTGACAAATTTTATAGACTATTTGGACGAAGTGACTGAGGTGATGGACGGGTGAACGTCTATGGATGTTGTTTATATGGACTTCCAGAAGGCATTTGATGAAATCCCACATAAGAGACTGTTAACTAAGGCAGAAGTCCATGGAATTGAGGGCAAATTACTGATATGGCTCAGAGATCGGATAAGTGGCAGGTGATAGAAAGTGGGGATAATAGGTAAGTAATAAAATTGTTAGGATATGACCAGTGGTATCCCATAAGGATCTGTCATACATCCAAACTTTCTGATGATGCAAAGTTAGGCCACATTGTCTACAATGTGGATGATAACATAAAATTACAAAGGATATTGATAGACTAAGTGATTGGGCAAAGCTGTGGCAGGTGGAGTTCAATGTAAGTAAGTGTGATGTTATCCATTTTGGACCCAAAAAAGGACAGGTCAATTACTTTCTAGATAGTATGAAGTTAAGTACAGTGGATGTCCAAAGAGTCTTGAGGGTTCAGGGGTGTAGATCTTTAAAATGTCATGAGCAGATGCATAAAATAATCAAGAAAGCTAATGGAATGTTGGCCTTTATATCTCGGACTGGAGTATAAGGATGCAGAAGTTATACTGCAGTTATACCAATCCCTAGTTAGACACCACTTGGAATACTGTGAGCAGATTGGGCACCACACCTTCGGAAGGATGTATTGGCCTTGGAGGAAGTACAATGTAGGTTTACAAGAATGATACCTGGACTTCAGGAGTTAACTTATGAGGAGAGATTATACAAATTAGATCTATTTTCTCTTGAATTTAGGAGATTAAGTGGGTGATCTGATGCAAGTCTCTAAGATATTAACAGGTAAAGATGATAGGGTAGATAAAAATGAACCATTTCTACTGGTTGGGGATTCTTGAACTAAGGGGCATGGTCTGGCCGTAATTCTCAGACTGTTCAGAGGAGATGCCAGGATGCACTTCTATACACAAAGGGTGGTTGGTACTTGGAACTCTCTTCCAAACAGCAGTGGATGCTCGATTAGTTATTAGTTCTAAATCTGAGATAGATAATTTTTTGTTAAGCAAAGGTATTAAAGGATATGGACCAAAGGCAGGTTTATGGAGTTAGGCCATGGATCAGTCATGATTTTATTGAATGAGGAGCTGATATACAATACTCCTGTTCATATGTTTCTATGTTCCCTCTGCCTGATGAGGGCTTCTTGATGTGGACTGCTGTCTGGGGACTGCCTGATGAGAACTGCTGCCTACAAGGTCTGCTTGATGAGAGCACCCCAAAAAGAGCTGCCTCTTCCCTGAGCATTTATTGTTGTTATTTGTGTCTCACGCAATTGCCTGAACTCTTTTGACCAATGGTCATGTGACAACCACTCATGACATCAGATGACCATTTTCCCTTTGCCCACCTACATTTGAAGGTTAGTTTTCAGTCCTTTGAATTAGAAAATCTTCTCATTTTTGAAAACAGTGTACTGATACCAGGGTGCATTTGGCTCTAGGTAAGCCATTGAATCTAATTCATTGTACATTGTGATCTCTTTTTCTTGTAATTCTTCCCTTTTGTTTTCCAAAGCTAGAATTGTGGGAAGTTAATTCCTGCCGCAGTAGCTGTTAAATGAAGTTCCATGCTACACAGTAAATAGTCAGAAAATTCAGTTTTTTAAGGGATGCCAATATACCAACAATTTATGGAAAATTGCCCAGGTAGATGCTAGTGTAGCAACTGTACTGGAATGGCTGAGCTAAGGGTGCATCTAACTTTAAAATACAGGTCTTCAATACTATTACCAGATTGTTGTCAGGGTCCGTAGCCTTTACAACATGCAGTGCCTTGTGCAGTTTCTTGATATCATGTGGAATGAATTGAACTGGCCAAATTTAAGCATCTGTAATGCTTAGAATTTCAGGAGGAGGCCAAGATAGATCATCTGCTCCACACTTCTGGCTGAAAGTGGTTGAAAGTATATGTGCTGAGTTTCCCTATCATTGATGATGGGGGTATTTGCGAAGCCTCCTCTGTTCATTAGTTATCTAATTGTCCACCATTGTTAACAGCTAGATGTAGCTGAATTTCAGAATTTAGAGGGGATCCATCAGTTGTGGGATTACTTAGTTTTGTGTATTGCATGCTGCTTCTGCTGTTTTCCGTGCAAGTCGTCCAGTTTTTCCGCTTCACCCGGGTGAAAATGTATTTTTCACAATGCCTGATGCATATTGCGGTGGCCATTTATATTTATAATAATATTATAGTGTATAGTAGAAATAACATCGTTGAGTAAGTTTCTGTTTACAATTTTTTTTTCTGTAAATATATTTATAGTAAACAGTTTCCAGACATTTCCATTAAAAGAAAACTTCCTGATCAATTGTGACAAAGGGTTTGTGGTGAATTGGAAATACAAAATGTGATGTTTTCTCAGATTTTTATTATTTGGGAAAAGAAGTGCTGATGATGCTGCCAAGATTGCATGATTTAATGGTGGACAAGTGGGTTGAATAGCGTGATCGTAGCATCTAGAACATTTGCTCGTACAGCACCAGGATTTTGGGTCAAAATCCTGGAATTTTCTCCCTAATAGCATTGTGGGTCGTCCCAGGAGGACTGCAGCGGTTCAAAAAGGCAGCTGACCACCACCTTCTCAAGGGCAACTAAGGATTGGCAAGAAATGCTGGCCAGCCACTGACACCCACATCTCACAAATGAATTTAAAAAAAAACCCACCACTCCCACCCACCCGCATTTCACCATAAGTTTCTCATAAACTTGCTGAAAATTCCAATATTGTGCTTCGGTATGGTCGAGTGCGTTGTCTTATGATAGTAGGTTGGACAGGGTGGGCTTGTTTCCACTGGAGTTTAAATGAGCTAGGGTGGGGTGACTTGATTGAAGTGTACAAGATTATGAATGGTCTTTAAATGATGGATAACGAGAGGATGTTTCCACTTATAGGTCAGTCTAGACTTAAGGTGCACTATTTGGAACTTTGCCTAGGAAAATGGTGGAGGTGGGGTCATTGAATACGTTTAAGACCGAAGTGGATAAATTCTTGTTTGGGCAATGGAATCAAGGGTTATCGGAGATAAATGGAATCTGGAATACAAAGCACAAACAGATCAACCATGATCTCATTGAAAAAGCAGGGATAAGGTGCCAAATGGCTTACTTCTACTCTTATTTCATATGTTTGTATTTTCTGCTGATCCTCTGTGGTTATTTTGGCAGAAATTCCCTAAAAGAACCATTAATATATTGTTGCTTCAGTATCAACTGTACTGGTTAATTTAAGGCAATCATTTAAACATAAATGCCTTAAAACTGCTGTTGTGCTATGACCATTTCTGTTAATACAACCATAACTGTTTTGTAATTAGTTACATTTTGAAATTTTTACTGATAATAAAACCTCACTGAAGAAAATGTATTGTTTTTTAGAAAGCTGCGACACTGCTACAGAAGGTCGAAACTGAGGAGGAGATCCTATATTCATTAAGAACAAAACCGACATTAACTGATAATGAAGAACTTGATGTTGTACCAGCCCCTATCTTGCTGTCCAGAACGCACAATTCTGTGATATTCAAGCCAGCTCATTTTCCTTCTTCTAAAGAGGTTGACAAACTTTTATAGTTTTAAACTATTGAATATTGTCATTGGCAGTGCAATAATGGACATTGTTGTGTTGGTAATGGTTATGACATAATATTTTCATATTTTTATTAAAGTACTAGTAATAGTTTGTTCAACAATTTGGCAAACAGTAAAATAATAGAAATGTTAGCAATGAATAATGGCAGAATCTTCCCAGGACCCCCATTGACATGGGCTATGGGAAGAAATTTAGGAAAATCGAATGACATGTCCTGTGAGGATCTTCTTGACATTAAGACCAAAAAGTCACATTTTCCAACCAAGTCCTGGAACTTTGAGATGAGATTCTTGCAAGTGAGTGGTGGGAGGCCTATGAACAGGTCCTATTGCTCATTGACAACCTCGTTATGACTAATCTTATCTCATTAAGATGCAGGCTCCCATTCTCCCATCACCAGATCGAAGTTAGAGGGCAGGAATTCTCGACATGAAAGTCAGAGCGGACACCTGGTGATTCCAGCTTGCCACTGCAGCTCTCTGAAGTCAGCAGTGTGGGATAATAAGGTGATTAAGGAGGCATTGCTTTTATTAATTGAGTCATAGAATGCAGGAGCAGGGAAGTTATGCTGGAACTGTATAAAACACTGGGTTAGGCCACAACTGGATTACTGCATGCAGTTAGAACATAGAACAGTACAGGCCCTTTGGCCCACGATGTTGTGCCAAACTTTTACCCTAATCCTGAGGTCTGTCTAACCTCTATCCCTACCTTATACTATCATCCATATTCCTATCTCATAGCCGCTTAAATGCCCCTAAGGAGGCCGACTCCACTACCCTCTCCGGCAATGCATTCCACGCCCCTACTACTCTCTTGAGTAAAGAACCTACGTCTGACGTCTCCCCTATATCTACCTCCACTCACTTTAAAACTATGCCCCCTCGTAACAGCTACCTCCACCTGAGGAAAAAGTCTCTGGCTGTCCACTCTGATCAGTTTGTACACCTCTATCAAGTCACCACTCATCCTTTGTCGTTCTAAAGACAAAAGCCCTAGCTCTCTCAACCTTTCCTCGTAAGACCTTCCCTCCATTCCAGACAACATCCTGGTAAATATCCTCTGCACCTTTTCCAACGCCTCCACATCTTTCCAGTAATGAGGCGATCAGAACTGGACACAATACTCCAGATGTGGCCGAACCAGGCTCTTGAACTCAATCCCTCTATTAATGAAAGCTAACACACCGTACGTCTTCTTAATAACCCTATCCACCTGGGTGGCAGCTTTCAGGGAACTGTGAACATGAATCCCAAGATCCCTCTGCTCCTCCACACTGCCAAGAATCTTTTCATTAACCCTGTATTCTGCTTTCAAGTTTTTCCTTCCAAAATGAATCACCTCACACTTTTCAGGGTTAAACTCCATCTGCCACTTCTCAGCCCAGCTCTGCATCCTATCAATGTCCCTTTGTAACCTAGAACAGCCCTCCGCACTGTCCACAACACAACCCACCTTCGTATCGTCCGCGAACTTACTAATCCACCCTTCCACTCCTTCATCCAAATCATTTACAAAAATCACAAATAGAAGAGGACCCAGAATAGATCCTTGTGGTACACCACTCGTAACTGAGCACCATGTTTAATATTTTCCATCCACTACCACCCTTTGTCTTCTAAGGGTCAGCCAATTCTGAATCCAATCTGCCATTTTTCCCCGTATCCCATGCCTCCTTACCTTCTGCATGAGCCTACCATGGGGAACCTTATCAGACGCCTTACTTAAATCCATGTATACCATATCCACTGCTCTACTTTTATCCACGTGTTTGGTCACCTCTTCAAAGAATTCAATAAGGTTTGTGAGGCATGATCTACCCCTCACAAATCCATGCTGACTATCACAAATCAAACTGTGCCTTTCCAAGTGAATATAAATCCTATCTCTCAGAGCCCTTTCCAATAATTTGCCCACCACTGACATAAGACTAACTGGCCTGTAATTTCCGGGGTTATCCTTATTCCCTTTTTTGAACAAGGGAATGATGTTTGCCTCTCTCCAATCTTCCGGCACTATACCCGTGGACAGTGAGGACGAAAAGATCATCGCCAAAGGCCCTGCGATCTCTTCCCTCGCTTCCCATAGAATCCTTGGATAAATCCCATCAGGCCTGGGGGACTTATCTATCTGCAACTTCCTCAAAATTCCTAGCACATCTTCCTTACTAACAGCAACCTCCTCTAGCCTACCAGCCTGTTTCATGCTGCTGTCCTCTACAACTAGGTCCCTCTCAGTTGTGAATACTGAAGAAAAGTATTCATTAAGGACCTCTCCTATCTCTTTAGGCTCTGTGCACAAATTCCCTTTACAATCATTGATAGGCCCTACCCTCTCTCTGGTCATTCTCTTATTCCTCATGTACATGGAAAAAGCCTTGGAGTTTTCCTTGATCAAGGTTTTCTCATGCCCCCTTATAGCTCTCCTAAGCCCTTTCTTCAGCTCCTTCCTGGATAACTTGTATCCCTCTGGAGCCTTTTCCGTTCCTTGTTTCCTAAACCTTACATAAGCATCCTTCTTCCTCTTAACCAGTCGTTCGACCTCTGTTGAAAACCAAGGCTCCCTCACTCGACTGCCTCTTCCCTGCCTGCTAGGGACAAACATATCGAGCACACGCAGTATGCATTCCTTAAACAATCTCCATATTTCAATAGTGCTCTTCCCTGACAGCATCTGTTCCCACTTTATGTTACCCAGTTCTTGCCTAACAGAATTGTAATTACCCTTCCCCCAATTATAAACCTTACCCTGCTGTATGTACCTATCCTTTTCCACATGACTATTGTAAAAGTAACAGAGTTATGATCGCTACTGCCAAAATGCTCTCCTACCAACAGGTCTGACACTTGACCTGGTTCATTGCCAAGCACCAAATCCAAAGTGACCTCTCCTCGTGTTGGTCTATCTACATACTGTGTCAGGAATCCTTCCTGAACGCACTGGACAAAATCCGCTCCATCTAAACTCTTAGAACTAAAATGTTTCCAATCAATATTTGGAAGTTTGAAGTCACCCATGACTACAACCCTGTGACTTCTGCACCTTTCCAGTATCTGCCTCCCAATCTGCTCCTCCACTCCTCTGCAACTATTAGGGGGTCTGTAAAAAAAGCCCCCAACAAAGTGACTGCTCCTTTCTTGTTCCGGACCTCAACCCAACCTGACTCTGTAGACATATCATTCTCGAACTGCCTTTCAGTAGCTGCTATACTAGCCCTGACTGGCAATGCCACTCCCCGCCTCTCTTTCCACCCTCCCTATTTCTTTTAAAGCATCTAAATCCCGGAACTTCCAACAACCATTCTTGTCCCTGAGTTACCCAAGTTTCTGTAATGGCCACAACATCGTAGTTCCAAGTGCTGACCCATGCTCTAAGTTCATCCTCCTTATTTCTGATATTTCTAGCATTGAAGTATACACACCTCAAACCATCTCTGTGTCCACAATTACGCTCCATCATCCACGTTTCTTTATTAACAACCTCACTCCCTGTTGTGTCCATTGGAAGGCTGAATACCTCATCCTCTGAATTATAAATCCGGTTCCCCACCCCCTGCCAATCTAGTTTAAACCATCCTGTACAGCTCGAGCAAACCTCCCTCCCAGGATATTTGTGCCCTTCCGGTTCAGGTGCAACTGGTCCTTACTGTACAGGTCCCACCTCCCCCAGAATGTGCTCCAACTATCCACATAATGGAAGCCCTCCCTCCTACACCAGCCCTGTAGCCACATGTTTATCTGCACTCTCTCCCTATTTCTTACCTCGTTATCACGTAGCACTGGTAGTAATCCAGAGATAACTATCCTGTTTGTCCTGGACTTCAGCTTCCAACCTAACTCCCTGTATTCGTTTTTCACATTCTCAGTCCTTTTCCTACCTATGTCATTGGTACTGATGTGTACCATGACTGCTGGTTGCTCACCCTCCCCCTTAAGGATCTTGAAGACACGACCTGAGACATCACGGACCCTGGCATCCGAGGGGCAACATACCATCCGTTCATCTCATTCGCGTCCACAGAACTGCCTGTCTGTGCCTCTTACTGTTGAATCCCCCAGTACAATTGCTCTCTTATTCTCCCCACTTCCCTTTGTGCCACAGGGCCAGGCTCAGTGCCGGAGACCTGTCTGCTATGGCCTTCCCCTGATAGGTCCCCCCCCTCAACAATATCCAAAACGGTATACTTATTATTGAGGGGAACAGCCGCAGGGGATCCCTGCACTGTCTGCCTATTCCCTTTCCCCCTCCTGACAGTCACCCAGCTACCTTTTTCCTGTACCTTGGGTGTGACCACCTCCTTATAACTCCTGTCTATCACCCCCTCAGCCTCCCGAATGATCCGGAGTTCATCCAGCTCCAGCTCCAGTTCCCTAACGCGGTTTTTGAGGATCTGGAGTTGGGTGCACTTCTCGCAGGTGAAGTCAGAGGGGACACCAGCAGTGACCCTTACCTCCCACATCCTGCAAGAGGAGCATGCAACTGCCCTAGCTTCCATTCCCTCTACTCTAGATTTCCAGAAGAATAAAAAAAAGCCTCATCTTACCAACCCTCCACACAGTCTTTTTTTTTGGTTAGAGGAGGAGGAGGATGGGTGGGAGACACTACACGTGTAATGTTTCGGGTTTAGCCAATGCCCGAATATATCAGTTCCTTCCTGGCTCACATTCTGTCCACACACCCGCCGCTGAAAACAAGAAGGCCACTGCTGCACAAGGTACGTTTTTATACAGGGAAAAAAACAACCTTACCTTCCTGTCAGCACTCTGGCTTGCGCTGTTGCCGCTGAAAACAAGAAGCAAGTTCCAGTCATCGCATTATAGGAGGGATCTGATTGCACTAGAGAGAGTACAGAGGAAATTTACCAGGATGCTGCTGCCTGGCCTTTAGGGTCTGAGCCATGAAGAAAGGTTGGATGGCGCAGTGATGATGTCCCTACCCTAATCGTCAGCCAGAAGTGTCACGTGGATGATCCATCTTGGTCTCCTTCAGGGATCCCCAGAGTCACAAATGCCAACCTTTAGCCAATTTGATTCACTCCACATGATATCACTAAATGGCTGGAGGCATTGTATATAGCAAAGCTATGGACTCTGATAACTGAAGACTTTTGCTCAGAACTTGCCTTGCTCCTAGCCAGGCTGTTTCATTCTAATTACAAAACTGGCATCTAGTTGACAATAATGTTGGTCCCTCACCACCTTTCACAATAAAACAATTCAAGTTAATTTTTGGGTAGTTAGAGTCCCCTACTGTTACTGCCACATTATTCTAATGCTTCTCTAAAATGTGATTACGTATTTGATCCTTTATCTCTCCCTGACTGTCTGGAAACCTAAAGCACACACCCCAAATGCATGTTTGTCCTTTTCCTGTTGTACTTTTACACTCGTGGCCTCATTTGATGATCCTTTCAAGATATTATCCTCCTTCCTGCTATAAATGATAATTACTAAACTCACTTCTTTCTTATCTAGCCGATTACTTTTGTTTTCTAATTTATTTGCACTTTAAGTTCTAGCTTCCCTCCCGTTTGAACTTGTTATAGGACCCCATCCTTTGACAATCAGTTTAAATCTGCCCCAACAGTATTGGCAAATCTCCCACAAGGATGTCGCTCCTGCTTCTGTTCAAATGTAATATCCATTCAACTTGTACAGGTCCCACCCCTCCTGTTAAGATCTAATGCCTTAAGAACATAAAGCACCCACCCCACCCCTCTCCTCCTCCCCCCACCCACCGCTTGAATACCGTCCCTCAAACCACATATTCATCTGTTCTATGCTTCTATTCCCGTACTAAGTACTGCATGGCACCGGATGCAATCTGGATGTTATTACCTTCGAAGTCCTTTTCTGTTTCCTTTCTTACACTATAAAGTCAGCTTGCAGGACCTCATTTCTCTTTTGTCCCATGTCATTGTCATTGGTCCTAACATGAACCATGAACTCTGGCTGTTCACCCTCCTCCTTCTGAATGCTCTGAAGCTGTTCCAGGATACCTCAACCCTGGTGTCCAGGACGCAACAACCATCCTGGAATCAGATTTACTGCTGCAGAAGTGCCTGTCTAGTACAGAACTATACCAACTGCTAGAGCAGGACATGCAACCTGGAGGTCTGGGTGGCCATCCTATCCCACTGTCAGCCAAGATGACAGCTGCATTGAACGTTTATGCAACTGGCTTCTCCCAAGGAGCCAATGGGGACTTCTGTAGGATCTCCCAATCATTCACTCACGAATGTATCAAGGCTCTTACCAATACCAGTTATGATAGATCACACTGTTTTATCTCATTTCCCATGACAAGGTCAGTGCTATAGCTGAGAAGTAGAATTTGCAACTTAATTGGCTTCCTGCAGGTGCATAGTCTGCACACACATCTCATTGAGAGGACCAGATTAGAACACAAGTTGATCAAGAGGAAGGGTTTCCATTCCATCAATGTACAAGTAATCTGTAATCATAGTACCTGTTTCTTATAACTTTGCACATAGTACCCTGAGTGCTGCCCCGATGAAAATATTCCTGTGAATTGTCATTTTCCTGCTGTGTTTGAGGGGCTAGATGCCTTACAAGGCTGGTTACCTTCAAGATCTACCTTCTGTGACCATGGCTGATGAATCGATTATACAACCCATTGAATGAAGTGACAAGGAGTTACAATACTCTCCATTCTTTAACCAGGACACCCTGGAAAAGACGATAGGTCTCCTGAAGATTAGATTCTAACGCTTGGATCATCTGGAGAGGCCTCACAAAATACTGCAGACACTGTGCCACATGATCCTAACATGCTGTGCTCTGCAGGTCTGAAACAGGCAAAGAGGAGAGAGGTAATGGATGCAGACAAGTTGGGAGAGCCACAGCAGTCTGCTGAGGAAGAGGATGAGAACATTGAGCAGGAAGAATATCACTTTATGCACAATAAAATGCAACAGCATTGGGAGCTATAAGCCAGACAGGGCTTAATTGGCATGTGGTTCTAGTGGTGCAATGATCATTCACTGTCTGTAAAATAGTTGGTGCTCAATTTTCTGTTCTAAGAGACAAATAGAGTTTCTGTTTATTTAATTTCTGTTCACTTTTGGTGTTGGTGAATAAAGGTGGCACTTTGGAGTCACTTGATTCCTTCCCTGCATGTGATTGTGGACATTGATAAGGTGCTGGGCAATGGTAGGCTCTTGGGAAGAGTAGAAGCGACGTAGAAAGTTGCAAGAGAGAATGTGCTAATAAGGACAGGTAAGCTATGTAGGTTGGTACATTTGGGACGTTTGCATGAGTAAACTCACTAGCACATGCGGAGAGAAACCTTCCATAAAACTCACGAAACTGATGCTTTCAATTTCTGGTAAGATTCAGCCCAATTGCTCAGGGACGCAGCAGTTGCTGGAATGTAAATTTAATTAGTTCCATTTATTCTTTTTCTCTGGAGTCGCAGGTAGACAGGGTGGTGAAGAAGACATTTGATATGTGTATTTTTTTTTGGTCAACACATTGAGTACAGGAGTTGGATGGCTGTGCTGTGGCATTCAATATAGTCTTCCTGCTATAGGAAGGATGTTGTGAAACCTAAAAGGCTTCAAAAAATTTACGAGGATGTTGCCAGGATTGGAGGATTTGAGCTATAGGGAGATGCTGAATAGGCTGGGGCTATTTTCCCTGGAGTTTTGGAGGGGTGACCTTATAGAAGTATAGAAAATTATTATGAGGGGCATGAATAGGGTGAATAGCCAAAGTCTTTTCCCCAGGGTGGGGGAGCACAAAACTAGAGGGCATAGGTTTAAGGTGAGAGGGGAAAGATTTAAAAGGGACCTAAGGGGCAATTTTTCATGAAGAGGGTGGTGCATGTATGAAATGAGCTACCGGAGGAAGTGGTGTTAGCTGGTACAATTACAACATTTAAAAGGCATCTGGATGGGTGTATGAATAAGAAGGGTTAGAGGGATATGGGCCAGTTGCTAGTAAATGGGACTGGATTAAATTAGAATATTTGGTTGGCATTGACAAGTTGGATGGAAGGGTTTGTTTCCATGCTGTACATCTCTATGACAGCAAGTTCACGGTTTGTTGCCTATCTGTAATTGCCCATGAAGTTACTGGCCTTCTAGGCCATTTCAGAGTAATATTAAGGGTCAACCATGTTGTTGTTGATCTTGAGTCATATGTAGGTCAAACTAGGTAAGGATGATCGGTTTCTTTCCTTAAAGATGATTATAAAGCAGATGCGTTCAGATGAAAAGTTGACGGTCACCATTACTATCTTTCAGTTGTATTTTTTTTATTAATTAAATTGAAAGTCCACCAGCTGCAAGGATAGGATTTGAACCCCTGTCCCCAACCATTAGCCTGGGCTGTGGATTACTAATAAAGTGACAGTACCATTGTACCACCACCTTCCGCTGAGACATGGGAAAATTTATAGTCAGATCTTAGCATCAATATTGCTCATTGCAGAAAAGGACTTTAATCATTGGATAATGTACGCTGATCCATCTGAACACATTTGCAGTTTCTCAATGCTGGTCAATTTAATAGACACTTTGATTTTTTAATATAAGCTCTATCAATAATAACTATTAAAAACATATTTAACTTAAAGTAAATACTTTCATGATGCCGGCTCAGATTGTCAATGCTTTCTGAACTTGCCCATCAAATGGTTACCAACTCCACACCAGGGTTGCCCTGTGATTCATGACCCTGCTAGGACATCATGAACCTCATCTATCAAGAAATCGGCCCGACTCCATGAAGGAGGGAGGGTCCTAACATACCCATCCCATCAATAGAACCACAAAGGATATGAATGTTGCATGCAGGCTCACTCCCTTATTCCATACTTGTGAAAATACCACAGGTTGGGAATGGAGGTAGGAATCCTGGAATCTGGTCCTACCTGTCATTTTTAAATCTCACTCACCAGTCTTCGCACATGGAAGGAAACTGGAAAAAGTGTCCGACTACCTTGATCACCACATTCTTTGTCTAAAAAAGGCAGGAAATTGGCACTAGGTAACAGACCCAGCACAGACATGATGGACCAAATGGCCGCCTTCTGCACCATAACAATTCTGTGATTCTGTGAAATGTATTATAGTACATATACAAGGTTATACATATACTACAACGTTAAAGGTTTGTAGGCATAACTTATATAGTTCTTGTATGTTTATATTTTTAATTATTGAAATCATACTGAGAACCTTTCCTCTGTCTTTGTTAAGGTTTATTGGTATCGCATATTTGGCCGTACTGCAACAGGAAGCATTCTGAAAGTGCGTCTCAAGGATTCTTATCTTCAGGGTACAGGACAAGAGGTACAGAAAGAAAACCCATTTCTTTTCCAATAGTTGAATGACACTTACTGATCATATTATGATATTTTGTGTCAAACAATTTCTATTTAATAGTTTTTAATGGGGCTTTTCTGGTGTTACACTTTGGCTCAGACTGTCAGCAAGCAGGTGTCCTTAAAAATGTCATGAAAACCTAGATTCTAGGATTCCTGCTCCATTCCTATTTCTAGCAATTTGCACTGGTAGACATAATTAGATCACATGCAGCTCTTCTGATGTCAGTGGTTCTGTTGCGGGGAGTGGGTATTTCACTCCTTCCCTGCATGCCTCAACTGTATTAAGTTAGGCCTCTTAGTAAGTATGGCCTCTCAGAGGAGTCATAACCCCTAGGGAATTTCTCATCCCAAGTCAGCAATAAAAAAGTGCCTTCAGCATTCCCATTGAAATAAATTGCCTCCAAAACTTCTCATAAAGCTGTCAATCAATCATAGTATTAAAATCAAATAGATTTCATCCAGTTTAGACCTTGTAACTTGTGCACCTAAAAGATAGTCAGTTGAAAAGCTACATCAAAATAAGATTGAATTGCTAATGGCTAATTATATATCAATAAAGCAAGTTGTTCACTTCCCTTCAAGCTGTGTAAATACTCCCTGCTGAACTCAGTGCCATTCTTGGAGCTCAGTCAAGCATTCATTACGAAGTCATCTGGCAACTATGTCAACAGAAGCAAACATCTGATTTTTTTTCCAGATGGCTTCATTATGAATGCTTGACTGAGCTCCAAGAATGACTAATTCATGTAGTTCAGCAGGAAATGTTTACACACTTGAAGGGAAATATAAGTGTAGTTTGATATCTCTACTACATTGTGATAACTTAATGTTTCTTCGATGTGGTATTTTAATGGTTTTGTGTTTAGTAAAACAAGACGAAGTGGTCTGAAATGTATAAAAAGTTATTGAAATTTCTATTACGAATGGCTCTGGTTGATTAACACTTTTAATTTCTTGTAAACTGAGCACTTTGCAAAGTATTATTTTAAATCCTTCTTTTGTTCATTTCAGGATCATTTCAATGAATTACCATATTTACTGCTGGCTCATTGGCTTTGTACATTGTGAATACTGGGAGAGTGGGTTAGGCTGTAGCGAAGTGGCTTGAAGATATTGGGGACGTAGCAAATAAATGAAGAGAAGGGTATGGAAGGGTATTGGGTATGGGAGTGGATGTGGGTGTGATTGGGGGAAAGATGAGGGCTTGGTAGTCATGATTTACAACCTGACAGATGATCCAATAAATAAGTGGGCCTTCTAACTTGCCTCTATACTGCACTCACTTCAACATGAAAGTAGAGTGAGCGGAAGTCTTCTTAGCAGAGATAGGTTTGTGGATTCCGCACCTTCCCTAAAGTAACACACCTTCCCTAATGCCTTACAGCCTTCTCTTAGATTAAGAGGAAGTAGGTGGGAGCTATTAACAGTCTGAGCACATACATATAGGGAACTCCTGTAACAGGGAATGGAAAGAGGTGTAAGACTGAATAGTTAATGAATAAACTTTATCTGGAAAGGAAAGTATCTTGGTGTTTTGTTTCACTGATGGACTCAAATTTCAGTTACGATTTTTCTTCTCATCGAAGGTGCCAACATTTGGTGAGTGTTTACTGGAAGTAAAAGGCCTTGAACCTAATGAAAAATACATCTTTGCAGTTGCTGCTTATTCAGAAGATGGAACAATCATTGGAAATGGAATTGGGAAAACGACAAAGCCAATCCTAGCATATTATTCTCTTCCTATCCTTACAGCATGGACCTACCTTTGTCAGGTACAACTATTTCCTAGCCAGTCAATTGTGAATTATATGTTAGTGTTTATTAGATTTGGAACCCATTTTGCATCTACTCCTATTTGTATCTTCTTTTGAAGTGTAAAATGGTCTGCTGACTTATATCACGTCGTCCTAAAGCGGAATGATTTCATAATGGCCATAGCTATTGCAACATTGGCCCAAATTTTCCAAAAGAATTACAGTTGTAGCAGTGTAGGCTGGACTTACAGATTGAGACCCTGTGGAAATCCCGATGCAGCTGGCTCTGTGAGAATTGCCTGGGAAGTTGAAACTTCCGAAAGACAATTACCAACCTTCCAAGTAGTCCCCAGCACTCAAGCTGATTCACAGAAGTCAAAGGATTCTGACCATCACTTCTTCTCCCAGATTGAATGCCTCTCCCAATTTGTATCACATCCCTTAACTTCCTACAGAAGTCTCATCCACTCCATGGCCTGTAAATGACACCCAGGGCTCTTAACCTTCAATGACCTTCCTGACTTCTCATTGACGCTACCGATCTGACATCCCACCCCTTCCCACCTCACCTGACTCCCATCCTTTATTTATACCTGAACCCCCTCTGCTCCATTAGCTCCCAATTTCTCCTCCCCACAACCCTCTCATACCCTTCAAACAGCTGGCATCTGTACCCCTTACCCATCTATCTCCCTCCTGACTCAAACACTTGGTACCTGTATCCTTCAACCCCTTACTCCTCACCCACCTGCCATCTGACTGCTCACCCACCTTGCACCCTATCTTCTTCCCCACCTAGCACCCTAACCTCTGCACCTTTCATCAACCTGCCACCCTAGTCCCCCACCTAGCTGGCACCCTGCCCTCATATTTAGTTTCTCTCAAAAGCTGTCAAGGCGGCTGTCAAGGCGGCTACTGGGCTTCATGCATTCCTGGCATGGAAAGCTCCTGGCTCAGACTTCACTTGAAAAACTGAACAAAATAGGTCAGTGGGTAATTTTTCAGCTGAACTGGATTGGAAATAGGGACTCTGATTCAGAATCAAATTATTAGCTTTCAGATCCAGAACATTCCACCCAAACACTCCACCCCAAACCCTCACCAACTACCTCTCAAAACTGAAATGAACAGGTAGGATGAAATTTTCTATTTCAGAGTTAAAGTATGGCATTCGATGCCTTACATGGCATCACATCCATCATGGCCTATGCCCATAGTGAGGTTTCTGTAGTGAGTATCTACTAGTCAGCTTATTTCGCGTACAAGTGAGTTCTGAGGCAAATTAATGGCAAATCGTTAAATAAATGTAGAACTGAGGTGCTTGTCCCTGCTGGCACCTTCCAGGGTTGTTTGTTCTGGAACCATATTTTTAAGGCTACCCAGGCACCCCATCACTTGGTGCAAGGTAGGAACTCCAGAACAAACAGCAGCTATTGTTCCCACTTTATTCTACAAATGCCTGCCAAGCATCAATAACTGTCTCCTCCTTTTAATGATGCTTCAATCGAGGCTCCGCTCCAGGTAGTCTTGGCCAGAAAGGAGGTCCTCTTCCCCTTTAAGGGCATAGGAGGCCCTTGCATTACATCTGGGCAGACTGTGCCAATCATAGGCAGAATGTTCATTCTAAGCCTGCCATTGTACAGCCATGTTCCATAGGCATGCCTACCTCACACATGATGTGGAGTAAAGACCTCACACCCAACATGTGCTGATGATTTTCTAACACTTTCAGGGCACCAGTAAGCTTCCCACTCACTTACTGGTGATGGATCACTTCCTAGCAGGGTTGTGCAAGCTCATTGAATGCCCATGCACATATTCCATAGGGCTGATCTGTTTGTATTTTGGATTCCACATTCCCATCTACCCCTGATAACTTTTGATTTCCTGACCTCACAACAAAATACCTATCTCTAACTTGAAAATCTCCACCACCTTCTGGGGCGGTGTTCCAACAATGCATCTGAAATAAAATAAAATTCCGTCATCTTGTTAATTTGTATCAAACGTCAAGATTAAAGTTGAAACTCTGTATGTAAATTAGTATTATGATAACAAAAGTAGCAGCTAATGGGACAACATGATGATGAAAGAAAAATAGCACCTAACGGAGAAACTGTACTGTTAAATAAATGAACAGTGATGAAAAAAGGTGAAACTTAAGAGAAGTGTAAAAGGAGTTACTAGTTCAATAATAATTGAGCACTGCAATGAAATCACAAATCAAGAAGCCTCATCACAATTAAAGAAGGGAAATTAAAATGAGTGCCAGAAGAATAAAGCAGTGGAATTCTCTTTGGAGTAGAGTTCTGGCAGTATTATTCTTCTACTCATTCCTGTGCATTCGTCTAAATCTGACCAATGTTCTCCCTTGACCTCTTAAAGTATATTTGTTAAGCTCTGAGTGCCATTCTACTTGTCAAAGGCCAATGTGTGAGTGCAAAGGAGGAAACCCAGCAGTGCTGTTGTACTATTAAATAGACAAAAGAGAAGGCTTTCATTCTCCAACAACATGTGTCAGAACAGTTAGTGCCACTTTCTTGTTCCTATTGCCTTCTCTGCTTGGCATTGCCTAGGAAAATATTAGTAGAAATAAGAAGGATGGAAAACCTGCTGGACCTCATCACCTGCCACCATTTGCATGTGTTATGAAGAAGAAATGGGCAGCAACAATGTTAGTGAAAACCATTTTGAGAAAGTGAGGCAGTGATAGTTCTCCGGTCCCCATCTCTCTGCTGTTCCTGCTTGGCCTTATGAATGTTCACAGAGAAAACTACCCTAACACCCACAAACAAAGGGAAATGCACACTGCCAGCTGTCTTTACTAGGTTTAGTTAATGAATTTATCTAAGTACTTCTTGACAATTTTATTTAAAATGTTGCTGTTTTCTGTCACATAATCATTACAGAATGTTGCATTTTAATTTAATTGTAATTTTAATTTAATGTTTGTTTTTAGGTTGCATATCAGTTAGGGCACTATCCAGTGTCTAAAGCAGCTTTCTCCATTTTATGGAAACACTTTGTTACACAGGGATGTTTACAACAAAATAAATACCTTGTTACTGATAAAACTGATTGGTGCATCTCTCAGAAAAGGTACAGTAATTACAAATTCTGTGAATGATTTTTCTCCAACTCCAGGTACAATTTATTTTAACATAGAAATATAGAAAGAAGGAGCAGGAATGAGCATTTGGCCGTTTGAGTCTGTTTAGCCATTCAGTATAATCAAGGCAATCCTTTGGAACATAGAATAGTACAGCGCAGGAACAAGCCCTTCAGCCCACCATGTCTGTGCTGACCATGATGCCATTCTAAACTAATTCGATCTGCCTGCACATAGTACATATCCCTCTATTCTCTGCCTGTTCATATGTCTGTCTAAATGCCTCTTAAACTTTGCTAATGTATCTGCTTCTACCATATTTCCTAGCAGTGTGTTCCAGGCACCTTAACAAACTTACCTCGCACATCTCCCTTAAACTTTTCCTCTCTCACCTTTAAGCCTATGTTCCCTAGTACTTGACATTTCTACCCTGGGAAAAAGACTCCAACTATCTACCCTATCCCTGCCTCTCGTAATTTAAATACTTCTATTAGGTCGCCCCTCAGCCTCTAATGTAATCAATCCAAGTTTGTCCAACCTGCCCTTGTGGTTAATATACTCCAATCCAGGAAACATGCTGGCAAACCTCTTTTCCGTCCACTCTAAAGCCTCCACTTCCTTCCTACAGTGTGGTGGCTAGAACTGCACACACTACTCTAAATGTGGTCTAACTAAAGGCTTATACACCTGCGACATGACTTGCCAACTTTTATACTCAATGCCCCAACCAATGAAGACAAGTATGCCGTATACCTCCGTTGCCACTTTATTCACTTGTGTTGCCACTTTAAGGGAGCTATTAATTTGTACTTCAAAATTTCTCTGTATATCAATGCTCCTAAGAGTCCTGTCATCTACTGTATACTTTCCTCTTGCATTTGACTTCCCAAAATGTATCACCTCACATTTGTCTGGATTAAACTCCATCTGCCATTTCTCTGCCCAATTTTCTAACTAATCTATATCCTGCTGTATCCTTTGACAATCTTCCTCACTATCCACAATTCCGTTAATTTTTGTGTCATCTGCAAACTTACTAATGACTCCACATATATTTTCATCTAAGGCATTTATATTTTAGAAACAGCAGAGATACCAGCCCTGATCCTTGCACAGCACCACTGGTCACAGACCTTCAGTCAGATAAACACAACCATCCTCTATCTCCTATGACCAAGACAATTTTTGTGTCCAATTTGCTGACTTACCATGGATCCCATGCATCTTAATGTTTTGGACCATAATATTTAGTTCAATGTGTGATAATGCTGTCACTTTAAAAAGATTATTTTTTTCTGGGTTCTTTTGAAGGGCGGTTGTAAAGGCAGAGGTGAGGTGAGGTGCAAACTGACTACTGGAGACAGCCTATATCAACAATTTAGGAGGCCTTTAGGCATTTTTAAAAACAGTTGTAACAATGGAAGGGGAGTGGCCAGTTCTCACAGACCAGGTTTTCTACGTTTTTTCAGCTGTAGCTGTCAGAAGCTGTTTGGGGCTCCAGAAGTGTTGGAAACTTCAATAAATGATTCCTACCTGCTACATTCTCTGAAAGCTCTCTTGATGTTATTTCCTCCTGGAATAGAGAACTGCATGAGAATCTGTGTCTGAATTTATCTTTTGGCCATGGGGTGTATTTATGGGATGTTACTATATTGGAACAGTTAATTAGTAATAGGTACTGTGTTTATCATTTGGTTAAGTTTTCCAATAGTTAAGTTATCTTAAATTCCTCAAACCTTTGTTTGTAATTTAACTACAGTGTTTAAATAAATTGTGTTCTGCTTAACCTCGAGTAGTTTTACCAGTCGCATCATATCTGGAACATGCACTTCACATCTACCTTTAAAATAAGAAAAAGTTAGTGTCTAGGCTACCTTCTTAAAATATTTTGAGGGGGTCTGCTCTGGCCCATAAATGCCATATTCTTGCTTTGTCTCCAAATACCTTAATGTCTTTAATATCTCAAAATCTGTCAGTCTCTTTCTTGAATCTATCTCAGTGACTCCACGGCCTATCGAAGTTAGCATTTTATATGTTTGCCCACACACTCAACTTGTCTAAATTGCCCCAAAGGATCCTTACATCCTCCTCACGATTCATAATCTAACTTAGCTTTGTGTCATCAGTGAACTTGGAAATGTTGGCTCCCTCATCCAAGTCATTTATATAGCATGAATAGCTGAAGCCCAAGCACTGATCCCTGCAGTACACCTCTAGTGACTGCCTGCCACCCAGAAAAAGACCATTACTCCCAGTCTGTTTCTGGTCTGTCAAACAAGTTTATGCCAGAATATTACCCCCAATCCCATATGCTTTAGTTTTGTCCACTCTGCTTTTATGTGAGACCTTATTGAAATCCAAATACACCACTTCCATAGGTTCTGCCGTATCTATTCTGTTCATTATACCCTAAAAGATTCCAGTAGATTTACTAAGTATGATTTCCCTTTCATAAGACCATGCTGATTTTGTCTAATCCCCATAATACTTTCCACATGTTTAATTATCAAGTCTTTTATACTAGATTCTAGCATTTTGCCACTTTCGATGTTAGGCTAACTGGTGTGTGATTCATTTTTTTTATTATTTCCCTCCTTTTTTTAAATCGTGCAGTTACATAAGCCACCCTCCAATCTGTAGTAACTGTTCCAGTGCCTGTAGAATTTTGAAGAATGACCGCCAATGCATGCAGTATTTTCAGGGCCCTACTCTGCAATGTAGATTATTGAGCCCTGGGCAATTGTCAGCTTTCAACCCAATTAGTTTCTTTTGTGCCTTTTTTAAAACTAATGCTGCCTTTCTTCAATTCCCCGCTGTCATTAGACCCTTGGTTTCCTACCGTTTCTGGGAAATTATTTGTGTCCTCTTTTGTGAAGCTAGAATGAAAATGTTTGTTTGCTTGTCCACAGCTCCCTGAAGGTGGCAGAACAGATTAATAAAGCAGTTAAGAAAGAATACAGCACGCTTGCCTTTATCAGCTGTGACATATGTTTTCAGAGCAGTTTATGTTGGAGATGTACAAAACTTTAGATAGACAGGCCACAGTATTGTTTGTTGTTCTAGTTACCACACTGGAAAGGATGTGCTCGCAGTGAAGATGGTGCAAAGAAAATTCACCAGGATGTTGCCTGGAGTGGAGCACTTTAGCTTCGAAGAGAGTTAGATAGGCTTGAGTTGTCTTCTTTAGATCAGAAAAAGCTGAGGGGGTGGGAGGGAGGAAACCTGATAGAGATGTATAAGATTTATTAGTCAGTTAGCTTAGTTGGCTGGACAGCTGATTTGCGAGGCAGATCGGTGCTAACGCTGGCTGAGGTTATCATAAAGGAATCACCTTTTCAACCTGTCGTCTCACTTGAGGCATGGTGACCCTCAAGTTAAACCACCATCAGTCATCTCTCTCTCTAATGAGAGAGCAGCCCATGGTCTGGTGACACTATAGTGACTTTACCTTTACCTATAAGATTATGAACGGGATGGACAGGGTGAATAGAAAGCAGCTGCCTCCCTTAGTCAAAGGCGGCATAATTTTAAAGCGAAAGGGAGGAGGTTTAGAGGGGATTTGAGAAAAAAAAACCTTTTCTCTCAGAGGATAGTGGAGATGTGGAATTCACTGCATGGAAGGGTAGTTGAGGTGGGAAACCTGACAACCTTTAAAAGGTACTTGGTTGAGCACTTACAGTCATAGAGTCCTAGGGATATACAGCACAGAAACAGACCCATTGGTTCAACTCCTCCATGCCAACCAGATAGCCTAAATTAATCTAATCCCATTTGCCAGCATTTGGCCCATATCCCTCTAAACCCTTCCTATTCATATACCCATTCAGATGCCATTTAAATGCTGTAATTGTACCAGCTTCCACCACTTCCTCTGGCAGTTCATTCCATACATGCACTATCCTCTGTGTGAAAAAGTTGCCTTTAGGTCCCTTTTAAATCTTTCCCCTCTCACCTTAAACCTATGCCTTCTAGATTTGGACTCCCCAGCTCTGGTGAAAAGACCTTGTCTATTTACCCTATCCATGCCCCTCATGATTTTATAAACTTCTATAAGGTCATCCCTCAGCCTTTGATGCTTCAGGGAAAATAGCCCCAGCATCTCAGCCTCTCCCTGTAGCTCAAACCCACCGAACCCTGGCAACATCCTTGTAAATCTTTTCTGAACCCTTTCAAGTTTTACAACATCCTCCCTATAGCAGGGAGACCAGAAATGAACGCAGTATTACAAAAGTGGCCTAACCAATGTCCTGTACAGCTGCAACATGACCTCCCAACTCCTCTACTCAATGCACTGACCAATAAAGGTAAGCATACCAAACGCTTTCTTCACTATCCTATCTATCTGTGACTCCACATTCAAGAGACTATGAATCTGCACTCCAAGGTCTCTTTGTTCAGCAACACTCCCCAGGACTTTACCATTACATGTATAAATCCTGCCCTGATTTGCCTTTCCAAAATGCAGCACCTCACATTTATCTAAATTAAACTTCATCTGCCACATCTCAGCCCTTTGGCCCATCTGATCATGATCCCGTTGTACTCTGAGGTAACCTTCTTTGCTGTCCACTACACCTGCAATTTTGGCGTCATCTGCAAACTTACTAACCATACCTCCTGCGTTCACATCCATATCATTTATACAAATGCCAAAAGCAGTGGACCCCAGCACCGATCCTTGTGGCACACCGCTGGTCACAGGCCTCCAAGTCTGGAAAGCAACCCTCCACCACCACCCTCTGTCTTCTACCTTTGAGCCAGTTCTGTATCCAAATAGCTAGTTCTCCCTGTATTCCATGTGATCTAACCTTGCTAACTAGTCAATCATGCGGAATCTTGTCGAACGCCTTAATGAAGTCTGTTTGGATCACGCCCACAGCTCTGCCGTCATTAATCTTTTTCGTCACTTCTTCAAAAAATTCAATCAAGTTCGTGAGACACCATTTCCCATGCACACAGCCATGTTGACCATCCCTAATCAGTCCTTGCC